AAAGAAAGAAAGAAAGAAAGAAAGAAAGAAAGAAAGAAAGAAAGAAAGAAAGAAAGCCCGTCCAACTTCCCCCGCTGACTTCGCTTACCAGAATCCACAGAAGGTCACAAATGAGGCCCCCGGGACTCTGCAGCCCTCATAAATTCTGGACATGTTACCACAGGGTTGCTACAGCGGTCATAAGTGCGAGGACCAGCCATAAATTGTTTTTCTTCCTCCACACTTTGCCAGACATGGTCGTATGTCGAGGACTCCCTATCTCTCCAAAGCCTTGATTAGAAGGGGCAGAGACAAACATCCCCGAAGCTTCGCCAGGAAGTGCTTCTCCCTCCCACAGAAATGTTGAGGATCTTCCCAGGTCCTCCTTTAATGACTCATTCATTCTTTAAAGAACGGCTTTTGATGCTGAGAAGGGAGGATTATAAATCCTTGGCAGTCTTAAGTGAGATACTTGGAGGAATTGGGCCGCCACCCATAGGAAGCATCTGCCAACGTGGCATGGCTCCAGAGGATTGAGGCAACCGCTTCTTCCGTCCAATCTTGAATTTCCCCCGAAAAACGAAATGCCTCTGATGAGAGTTTGTTTTTTTCCTTCTTCTTGTCTTCTCTTTCCTCTCCTGATGTCGTCTTTTACACGCTGGGACCTTTTCAGATGGGGCCAGGTTAAAGGTGAGTTCTCCAGGTGTGACCTGTGGTTGTTCCAGGGGGGTGGGGGAGAATGGGGGTGCATTTCTTAGGGTTCCTAAGGGGTTCCAAAAACACCCCCAACGAAATGAAACCCCGAGCCTTGAGTTCCCTCAAAGTTCCCCTTTTATTAGAGATGTCATGTTTGGCACATCTGGGAAAACCCGAATCTGAAAGCTTCCACTTGAAAGTTCAAGACCCTTCCCCAAACACCCACAAGTCCATCCCATGGTCCAATCTCCCACTGCCACGAAGACAGAGTCCACCACCCATCCAGTTCCGGCCAGGTGCAGAGACAAAGATGGCCTTGACTTTCTAAGAAGAATGTTGTTATGGCTACATAGCATCTAAACTCCATATAATTCCCCCCCCCTCCTATTTCCCCACAATAGAAAGAGTGGCAGGCCTGAAGCATGACAGGACAATTTCTTTCCCTTGATATTTTATTTTATTATCTTGTTTCGTTTTATATTCAATCGTTCATTTCTGTTTTTCCTTTGTTTTGTCCCAAGAAAGGGATCACTCCCGAAATTGGTTTACGTTAGGGAATAATAGAAAGCAAAATAGAGACCTTTAAAAAATATATATATATTTTTATTACATAGACCAGTGTTTCTCAACCTTGGCAACTTGAAGATGTCCGGAATTCAACTCCCAGAATTCCCCAGCCA